CCGGACTCCCGGACCCGTGTCACCCGCGGGCTTGCGCTCTGGCGCCGCCTGCCGGGGGACGGGGCGGGGACGCGGGTCCGGCCGGCCCTCGCGCTTCGCGCCTGTGCAACAAGGCAGGTACCCCCTGCGCAGCTCTCTCCCCAGCCCTCCTCTGCCCTCCAATCCATCCACATGTGCTTTCTGCACAGGTCTTGCCCTAACGCGGCCTGGCTTCCCGCGGAGGACCTCTGGGCCAGAGGTTCCACCTTTAATCTCGCTTAGCCCTACCTGTCTCTGGTGGCCCTGAGCCTGAGCCTGGAGCTCAGCCTGAGCCTGGAGGCTTCCATGGCTGTCTCTTGGGTACTAAGGCAGCTGTCCACTCATGCTGGTGACACGGAGGTCACAGACAAATGTATCCTGGGGCTGCAGGCACTGGGCTCCAACGGGCCCTGTCAGGTCCCAGCAAATCTGAATGGTTACCCAGCTCTGACATGTGCCACATTCCACCTCTGTATTTAAAACCAGAGCTCCCCGTGTTCTGGACAGAGAGGCTCATTCATTCCTGGGATCAGCTGGTATTGGTAGTCTAATGTGTGCCAGACATAGTGAAGGGGGCATGAGAAACAAAATCAGACCCACTCACTCCCTTTCCCCCTGGAAGCGAGGACACCTTCCCTTCCCCACATTCCAGCTGGCTATGTCATTCTTGTCCCTAGGACTGACTTCTTTCCAGAAGCTCTCCCAGGTGAGATGCTCCTCCCAGGGCCTTCCCAGCCCATGAGAGCCCCTCTCATACTTTTGCAACGGTCTGATTACCCGGCTGTCTCTCTTGCTGAACTTGAGCTGCTTGGAGCCCAGATGCTCCTCTTAGCCCGAGGTCCCTAGATCAGTGACAGAACTGGACACACACGCCAGTAAATTTGACTCCAGAATCTGCATGTTCAACCACTAAAGAAGACAATTTTCTGGGTAGTCTTATGAGAAGGGCTGTGGCAAAATACAAATGTCTCTGAAGGCCAAGGCCGCCTCTTTCTCAAGTTGTCTCATAGGGAGGCCCTATCTTGTTCAGGGGTGCCTTTCTCTGTGGGCTGTGGCACCTAGACCTGGTGCCTCCTTTCTTTTAGAGGTCTGAGAGCCCGTTTGCCTGCATAGGAAGCTGCCCACCCACGACTTAACCCACTAGCAAGGAATGAAGACAGAAAGTGTAATTCCAAGTTGTCGATGACTCTCAGGTTGTCCTCTCTGTTGATGCCCTCAAAAAGCACACCCAGCAGTAGAGGTGGTTCCGGGGGACCCTGAGGAAGCGCTGCCATGGCCCGAGTGAGGCTAGTCTTTTGCTTATTTTGCTCCAAGCTTGAACCTGGCTCCCTGCGCAGAACCAATTAAAGAGCCCCTGCACTGACTTGGGAACAAAGCAGAAACTGCCCCGGAGGTGTCTCTTCGCAGTGACCAGGATACCCACGGTCCCCAGCGAGGCTCCTTCCCTCATCCGGGGCCCTAACTGATACCCCAGCCTGAGGGCAAAGACAACCCCCAGAAAAGAAGTCACTTGATCAAATTTGAAAAATAGGAAGTTGCTGTGTGGAGAACAGGGGCAAAAGGCAGGAAGGAGAAATGGGTTAAAATGGGGCTGAAGGAAGCCTGAGGTAAGGCAGAGGTACCAAGCATGGAGACAGTGAATGGAGTCGCGAGATATTCGGGAAGCTCTGGGAACCACGTGGCCTGAGAGGGGGAGGAGTCAAAGGCAATGTCCGGTTTCTAGTCTAGGCGACCTGGTTTGTTAACTGTTGATGCATAACAAAGCACCCTCAAAACTTGGTGCCTTAGGGGGCGCCTGGGTGGCTCAGTTGGTTAAGCGACTGCCTTCAGCTCAGGTCATGATCCCAGGGTTCTGGGATCGAGTCCCGCATCGGGCTCCCTGCTCTGCAGGGAGCCTGCTTCTGCTTCTCCCTTTCCCACTCCCCCTGCTTGTGTTCCCTCTCTCGCTGTGTCTCTCTCTGTCAAATAAATAAATAAAATTAAAAAAAAAAAAAAAAACTTGGTGCCTTAGAACTGTAATCTTGTAGTGTCCCTCACCTGTTGGCAGGTCAGCAGGGGGCGGGGCAGAGGTGTCAGCTGATCTAGGCTAAGCTCAGGTGGAGTGGCTCTGCTCCACATGTCTCTCATCCTTCTCTTCCTGGGACCAGCGGAGGACCCCAGCCATGCTCTTCTTATGGAAGCTGGGGAGCAGAGGAGGGCAAGGGCAAACATGTGAGGCCTCTGAAGGCCTAGGTTGGAACCAGCGTGTTATACTTCCTCTGTGCCGCCAGTCAAAGTCTTGTGGACCACCCGAAGCCAAGTGGTGGGGATGAGGCCTGGGCAAGGGTGTGGATGCAGGGAAGGTGAAGAACTGGGGCCACTGATGCAATCTGCCACAGGCCACCACGAGGTGGAGCGTGGTTCCATTCTCTGAGTTAGGAAACATGGGAGAAGCAGCTGGGGGAGTGGGGAAGATGGGGAGATTAGTCAGGACGTGGTAGGTCTCAGGTGCCTGTGGATGTCTGAGTGGAGACACTGAACAGGCAGTTGGATATGTGGCCCCCAGCTCAGGAAAGAGCTCTGGGCCAAAGACAATGAGTTGTGACTTATTAGGTCCCAATAGGAGTGGGCTAGCTTGTGCAGAAAGGGCTCAGAGTGGGACAGATGGAGACCACCGAAGGCAACTGCGAAGGACAAGTCAAAGATGAGGAAGAGGGTCAGTCGTTAAGCGTCTGCCTTTGGCTCAGGTCATGATCCCGAGGTCCTGGGATCAAGCCCCGCATCGGGCTCCCTCCTCTGTGGGGAAGCCTGCTTCTCCCTCTCCCACTCCCCCTGCTTGTGTTCCCTCTCTCTCTGTGTCTCTATCTGTCAAATGACTAAATAAAATCTTTAAAAAAAAAAAAAAAGACGAGGAAGAGATCATGAGAGGGGGAGTGGTGGAAGCCAATGGAAGAACATTTCTGGAAGGGGAGGGGCTCAACAGGGCTAAATGCTGCATGGGAGCCTGTCCCCTGGTTTAACAGTAAGGTCATTGAAACCTCAGCAAGAACAGACTCAGTGGAGCCCCTTAGACCTTAGTTCTCTGGTACTTTTTAAAATTTGGCACTGTTGGGGTGCCCGGGTGGCTCAGTCGGTTAAGCGTCTGCCTTTGGCTCAGGTCATGATCCCAGGGTCCTGGGATTGAGCCCCACATCGGGCTCCCTGCTCAGCGAAGAGCCTGTTTCTCCCTCTCCCTCTGCCTGCCTCTCTGCCCACCTGTACTCTCTCTCTATCTCTCTGTCAAATAAAGAAATAAAATATTTTTTAAAAAATAAAATAAAATTTGGCACTGTTTTTATGGTTTCTTCATACTGCTATAGGTATACCTAATTCTGTGGTTCCAAACGGTGCCACGTGAACTGCTAATTTGAGGTGGTCCACAGCTCCAACAGTAGACTGTGCTACGTTCCTTTCTATGATATATATCTTTGCAGAGCTGTGCCTTCAGCCGTTGTGGCGAGAAATAAGTACTACAGGGAAACCAGGGTGAAACAGAAAATAAGGACCGCAATGTCCAATCCGATGG